ATCTTACCTGTAACAGTAGAAAAGAAAACTCTTCACAAAATATTAGACAGTTGAAGCTTCTGTAAAACTCTCCAGAATATCTCCAACCACACATTTAGAAGCAGCACTTAGATGAAGCAACCAAGCTATATCCAAGTCCAAGTGTCGTTGAGATTTGAAGGGGAAATCTTGCTCTCCTCCATACTTCCAGTATAGCCTTTGTATAAGGGTTATGCAATTTCATTACTAATATCAGTGTGTTAGATTCCCAGATCAGAGAGGGAATTTTGTTTTGAGTCCTCTTTCCAGTTCCACCCAGTTTGTGTGTGTCGGGAACATGCCAATATGTTTTGTGGAGCAAGTGGCAGTAACATTGGATCGAAGGAAGTCCAATCCCTCCTTGATTTTTCCGTAAAGTAAGTTGTGTAAGGCCTATGCATTTTGCCCCTTTTTTCCAGATGTATTGAAATATTGTCGTCATTATTGACTTTAAAAAGTTCTGGGGGGAGCGGAGCCTGGCAGCCTGCCGAAACGGACGCACGATAGATGAGCTCCACACTCATGGCGATTAAAAAACTGTTTTTTGCTGGAATAACGTACTGCAAACAAAGCCCAAAGACCCACCAGGCATATGGGGCGAAAAACGAAAAAACAGAGACTCGACAAGCCCAAATCGGGACACGATATCGGAGATTTATTCTGACAGGCACAGGGAGCACATGGGGCCAAGATGGCCGCAGGCATAGCAGTATATACAGACTCATCCGACGAGCTGAGCCTGGATGAATGCACCAGCGGGATGTTCGCCCCTCTAGCACAATCACCTACGACCAAAAAGCCACCTGAATCAGTCACCACAGACACAAGGAGAACCATGTTGGGTGAGTTACAGCAGGCACTCCAAGCTGACGTAGCCCAGCTCCGCATGGAATTAACAGGCCTAGTGGGCCGCATAGGAGCCACAGACAGACAGGCCCAAGTGATAGCGGACCTACAAAATGAGGTGCAGGTGCGCAAGAGCAACCAAGAGGACACAGACCAACGATTTGCAGCCCTTGAGGGCCTCAGACGCCGCAATAACCTCAAAATTCGAGGCGTACCCGACAACATATCGGCAGAGGAACTCCCACACTTGATAAGGAGGCTCACGGGGGCACTACTAAAGCCACAACAGGCTAAATCCATAAGCTATGAGGCGATCTTCCGTGTCCCTAAACCAAAAAGGGCCCCCGGCACGGCCTCCAGGGACATAGTGGTGTGGTTGCGATAGGGCACAGACAAAGCTGCAATTCTTACAGCCCTTAACCCCTTAAGGACCAAACTTCTGGAATAAAAGGGAATCATGACATGTCAGACATGTCACGTGTCCTTAAGGGGTTAAAGGGAAGACACCCTTCAACTTCGAAAATGCCGATCTTACCTTCTACGCGGTCTTATCAGGGGACACCCTGCAATGGCGCAAGTCCCTCCAAACATTTACGATGCTCCTGAGGCATAACGATGTATCCTACCGATGGCGCTCACCGAGGGCCCTACAGGTCCTGGAGAATGATCAGACCTACACAGTTACAGACCTGCAAGAGGCTGTGCGGCTGCTGCCAACACTTGGCTTCACGGAGAACTCCCTCACACCAGCAGCACAGACAGGCACAAACAACACAACGCACAGATGGGACCCAACGAGGATCACACCGTTCGTGCCACAACGACGACAGCGAAACGATTCCACGGTAGCCCCAACCTGAATCGTGGGACTCAACCCACACAGCAGCAGCATAAGTCCTCGGGACACACCACAGCTGCAGCCCGCAGCTACTTCTGCCTAATATTGGATTTGCATTGTTATTTTTTTATCTTAGAATTTTTTCTTTTTTACCTCGCCTCACCTTTCCTCAGCTCTTGTCCCCCCTCAGCCCCATGCCGCCCCCTTACCACAGCCCCATAACATTCCCACTACACTCCCCTAATTGCAACCCATATCACCCACAGCCCCTTTCCCAAATTGTAGCCATCAACCTACTTAAGCCCCTATCCTCCCACTACATTTCCTAACCCCCCAGTTGTGAAGAAAATAGCATGTTATTCAAGACTTTTATTGCCATTCAAGACTTTTTATGTTTTATTGGTTCAGTAGCTGTAACTACCAAACACCGACCACCCTCTGGCTCATTATCTTCAAAGAAAACTGTTGATTAAGCGCTCTCCCTGTGTGGCTGCCGTTCGTATAGCCAAATGCCACATGCGAGAGAAAATGGCGGCCATCTTGTTTGCACGAAAGGAGGCAGCGGGACTTGGTCATCGAGTGTCTGGAACTAAAATCGGACACTCGACTTCCCGAACACCGGTCAAACCATACGAACGCCTGCTTTCTTTTCCCGAACAGCCAGGAGAGCGCTGTTCGGTAGTTTGGTTCCCACATACCAGGTGAACAATCACTCCTATGAGCCAGGGGGCTCCGTTCGTGTATTTATTCATTTTTATGACTTTTCAAAATAGACTGTGTGTGTTAGTGTCATTACACTAACACACACTGCATTCACTACACTGACACACACTCTGCATTCACTACACTGACACACACTGCATTCACTACACTGACACACACTCTGCATTCACTACAATAACATACACTCTGCATTAACTATACACACAGCATCCACTACACAAACATCCTGTATGCACAGTACACACATTACATCCACCACATATTCAAACAATCTGCATTCACTATACAGAGACACTGCATCCACTAAACACATTGCATCTAGTACACACAAACACTACATCCACTACACAAACACACACACTACATCACTGTACACACACTACATCCACTACTCAAACACACTCTGCGTTCACTATACACACTGCATCCGCTACACAAACACAAACAGTATCTAATACACACAAACACTACATCCATTATGCACATTCTAATTCACTTCCACTATACACATCACATTCAGTCCTGTATCACTGTCAGCAGACTAGGTAGGAGTCCTGTGGGTGGACTCGTGAGCAGGCCGGGGTGGGGTTGGGGGGGCCCAGACCTTGTGCTTTGTCAGGGGCCCCAAAATTTCTGGTGGCAGCCCTGGCCCCTTGCATGGGCACTTGCATAAAAAACAGTATGGCACCATTAAAATTCATTCCTGTTATACCCTTCATGAAGTTTAGGCTCATGTTTGGGTAACTATCTACTTGCTGGGAAGGAACTACTTGGAGGCTGCATTCGTCTGAAACTATTCGTATCTACACCCGAACTGCAGCTGTTATCACTCAGGCTCCATTGACTACAACCCTCTGTTGCCTGTCACTCAGCCACTGCCTTAGCCATTCAACAATATTGGAATCCAAACGTAAAGATTGTAGTTAATTGATAAGACTTCTATGTGCAACAGTGTGAAAAGCCTTACTGAAATCTAGGTAAGCAGTGTCTACTGCACCACCCTGATCTGTTATTTTAGTTACCCAATCAATAAGATTAGTTTGGCATGATCTCCCTGAAGTAAACCCATGTTGTCGCTGATCTTGAAATCCATGTGTTTTTAGATGTTCAACAATCCTATCCTTTAACATGTTTCCATTACTTTCCCCACTACTGAAGTAAGGCTTACTGGCCTATAGTTGCCCAACTCCTCCTTACTACCTTTCTTGTGAATGGGCACAACATTCGCTAACTTCCAATCGTCTAGGACTACTCCTGTTAACAATGATTGGTTAAATAAATCTGTTAATGGTTTTGCTAGTACACCACTAAGCTCTTTTAATAACTTTGGGTGTATTCCATCAGGTCCCATTGACAGTTTCTCTGAAACTGCTATGTTTACATCTGAAGGGTTAAAACCTGGGGGACCTGGCACCCAGACCACTTCATTGAGCTGAAGTGGTCTGGGAGTCTATAGTGGTCCTTTAATAGTATAACTTATGTATGTATTTTAAAGTTCTGGGCTCAGCCTTTTCACGAACTGACATTTGTATACAATTTATAGTTTTTCTTTTATACAGTTTAGTTTGTGAATCTAAGGGCTGATTTAGGGAATTACCATCAGTGAACTGTATTTTGTACCGAATGTGCATATTCAGACTTTCCAAATGAATATACTGTGGACATTCAGAAATCCGAGGCAACCATTACTAATAAAGTCCATGCACCTCCAGGTACTCCACTGTCCAGTCGCAGCCAATGCAACACTGACCAACACACACACACTGACAGACACACACAGACAGACACTGACAGACACACACACTCGCTGACACACAGGCAGACACACTGACTGACAGACACATAGACACACACTGACAGACAGACACACACACTGGAATCTTCTGCATTACAACTCCCATGATGCTCTTACAGCCATAATTCTTGCAAAATATCAGGAGTAATGGGTCTGGGTTCAGACAGAGGCACAGGGGGCACTTATGGCTCTGATTTTGTGGGAGCACCCTGCCTTAGGAGTGGGGCTGTCCTGAGAAATTTTAGATGGCTCAGTAATAACAATTTATGCAACTAAATCATAATTTAGAACAAGAACAATGTACCGTATATACTCGAGTATAAGACGAGTTTTTTGGCACATTTTTTGTGAAAAAGCTCCACGCGTCTTATACTCGAGCCAGTGTCTGTACTATGGCAACTTACATTGCCATAATACAGACCAGGACTGCCGGGCTCATTACAAGCCTGGCAGTCCTGTTGGGGGCTGGGAGCAAGCTGTTACTTACCTTTACAGCATCTCCGTTCAGCTCCCTTCTCCTCTGTGCCGTTCAGCTCCAGTGTAAGTCTCGCGAGAGCCGCGGCCATCAAGGTTGCCACCAAGGTTACACACTCTGCATCATACACACACACACACTGCATGCATACACACACACTGCATTCATTATATACACACACTACACAAACACACACACTATGCATTAATTATATACACACACTGTAAATAAATATTCAATTAATATAATTTCTTGGGGATATAATTTTATTTAGAATTTTACCACTAGGTGCTGCATTTCCCACCCTAGTCTTATACTCGAGTCAATAAGTTTTCCCAGTTTTTTGGGGTAAAAGTAGGGGGTCTCGACTTATATTCGGGGCGACTTATACTGGAGTATATACGGTATCTTATTTGCACAGAATGATTTCTAAACACATTTATTGTAGTCTAAAGGCACATTAACGGGAGTCTTATTGTTGAGGTGCTCTGATATACAATTAGCCACACCATCAATATGGAGCTTTTCCATAAAGGGATACTTTAGGCACCAAAACAACTTCATCTAAATGACGTCATTATGGTGCTAGCAGGACCCTGGAGGCACTCTTAACTCAAGGGGTTAAACTGTTCTTGATCGGTTTAACCCCAAACGTTTCTCTTTTTTTTTCTGTTTTCCTTTTCTTTATTTTACATATCTCTAGTTTGTGTGCACATTCTGTGTTTGTGTGTAAACAGGAATGTAAAACGGACTTTAACCATTTCTCTCCTAGTTATCTTCTACCACTCTATAGTGGACATATCAGGTTGTGAGCCAGTTTTGACCATAATAAAGATGGCCGCCGTGGGGTTTGGTTCTGGCAGATTTCCATGAGTCATACACAGTTATAGAGCTGCATGACCAGGCCTTGCGAATGCAATCGCGAGAGTATGACGTCATCCCCAACGAGCTCACAGTGCTATATAAGAGGAACACACGCCATTTTCTTTCTCATTGCTCGGCTGTCCTTGCTGGCAGGTGGTGAGTTGTGTTCTATATTTCTTTCGTATTTTTTTTAATTTGTTTTTTTACTTGCTGTCTGCCCATTGGCACTGCATTGTGTTATTTGATGTTTGCAGACAGGTTTGCGTCCAAATTATTTTCTAGTTAACGTTCATGCTTTACACGTGTCCGTCAGGTTTTGTTCCTTATAATACAGCTCTCCGTCTTTGAAAGCACTTGGAGCTCTTCCTGTACCTGCTGTTGGCAATGCCATCTTCTGTCCACCTTTTGGATATTAATTATTTTATATATATATATATATATATATATATATATATATTTTTTTATATATATATATATATATATATATATATATATATATATATATATATATATATATATAATTAACCTGCATTTGTGTATACTGGGTAAGTAGTTAAACTGCTGAAGTGGTTATGGTTCTTGATCCATGCTGCTGCTCTTAGTAACTGGCTACTTATCGATGTAAACTCATGTTGTGCAGTGGTTTAGCATTTCTTCCTGTCTGAAGCTCCCAGCAGGCCCGATATGCCGTGCATTTCCCAGCCATGGCAGCCCTTACTCTAAGCATAAGAACTCTAGTGGACATAGGGGGGTGGGGGAGTATTGCAAATATCGCCCAATCCAGGGAGTCCCCACTCCTTTCTGTCTGCTCTCACTATTGCTACAATAGGTTTTACATGTCTTTTATTTCAGCCTTCCATGCAACTTGTGTCTCCTGTGCTTTAATCTGCTACAGATGTCTGTACAGTGACACATACCCTTAAAGTATGGCATCAGGGGACTTGAGATAAAATAACCAGTGCAATAGTTGTTCTTTTTAAAGGATTACGCTAAGCACCCTGACCGCTTTTAGTGGTGATTGGAGTCTTTGTGCAGCATTTTTCTATTAAAAGCATTCCAAGGCAAAGCTCCATGCTGTGGAGGTGTAACTACACCCCCCCAATTTCTGGCTGCACAAGGAGTTGCTATGTCATCCAAAACTCAGCCATACAAGTCTGGTGTAACTTGTAGTCTGTTTTTATTTTTTTTAGGATGAACATGTGCATTCATAATGGATCATCAGTCGTTCAGTGTGAATTAAATTAATAGTGGTGGTTTTTTTTTTTTTTTTGTATGTTGGATGCCTTGTCTCTTGTAGGCACAACTCTGCATGAGTGTGTCAGTTGTTACAAGGCAAAATTAAAAGTACAGGTTTTGCTTCCATCATGCTAAATATTCTGTTGCAGTGATGACAATGAGACCTGTCACATGTTCGTCTCTTGCATATTGACTTGTTAATGTTTACCACATAATGACTTCATTCAATGAATATAAGCCTTAACTTCTCTCCTCAGGTTGAAAGTTTTGAAATGTTTTTGGCTGATTGTCATATACTCGTCTACTGGGACAGGGCTCCATGATGGGTAAGATTAATGTAAAACGAATTTTAAATAAAGCACTTATGTCTTTGTACCTTTTGTGTTGGTACAGACTTAAAACTAGTGCTGATAATAAACCCTTCTCTTGCAACCCACAACAAATTGTCTTGTATGAGTTGTGTTACTTATGGGAAGGGACAATATTTTAGCTTGTCTTATTATAACTCTTAACTGCTATTGCAATGAGACCTGTTGCTAGCTAGTCTCTATGAACATTATCTTGCTAATGATTCCTCAATGGCTTTTATGGAATGAGTTCAAACTTTAGCTTCTCTCCTCAGGTTGAAACATTTGAAATGCATTTTGTCAGAAAATGTACTCCTTTACTGGAAAAAGGCTCCATGATGGTAAATAGTTTTCCTTTTTAATTTTTATTTTAATGAAAAATGCACTTGTGTCTCTGTACCTCATTATTGGTACAAACTTAAAAGAAGTGCTGATATTAAAACCTTCTCTTGCGACCCACAACATTTTTGTCCTGTATGAGTTGTGTTACTTATGGGAAGGGACAACCTTTAGTTTGGCCAGTCATCTAAAACTCTTAATTTGAGATTTCTATATGCCTTAAACATTTTTTTTTTTTTTCCTCTTAGATCCCATCTGAAATATGTATCTTAAAGAAGGTATGTTGATGATTTAACTGTTCAGAAGTACAAATGGAGGCAACAGATCTCTAACATATTTTTATTCTATAGCAATCACCAATGTGTTGTATTGATGATGCCCCTGCAGTCTGTCTGCTATATTGTCTATTTAAGTGTTAAATAACTTTGTTTATGCAGGTGTAGACACTCCTACCCTGCATGTAACCTCTAAAATCATTACATCTCTTTACAGGAGATGTTTAAACTTGCTATATATTGCACAGTTGGCCTGCATGAGCCTTGTCTGTAACTACAGTTAAATTAACAGTGCAGGATAGAATATATCCTGTATCTCTAAACAGTGCTGCATAAACAAGTGACTTTATCCTAAATGATAAAGAATTGGTGTCCTTTAACACTTCTAGCAGTCAATGTTCATTTGTGTTGATGATTGGCAATGTTCAACTGCTCTGAGTCAGAATGATGGAATAATAAGCCTTTCTGAACAAAGTTAAATCTTTATACAATGTGTCAATCCTCCCTGGCCTAAATTATTGATGTTTGTTTGTTTTTTCCGCTCTCTCAGGTTAACAGTGGCATAGCTTGTTGGAAAGGGTAAGCCTTAATTGTGTTTTATTTATTTTTATGGTGGTTTTGCACTGAATGGTATCTGCATCCAGTAGCACTACCTACTGTGGTGTTCAATATATGGTGCAATATAAACTCAACAGGCATCGTTGGTTTTCAAGCCTTTTTGTTTGTGAACCTGGTTTTTATGTTGATACATTACATTCTTAGCTGTGGTATTGGGGGAGGCAGTTGGTCCACCTCTATCAAATAGTGAGGCATATCTTTATTTATATTTTTTTTTTGTCCCTCTATTTCATTTAGCATTTGGATGTAAATCTGAAAATTTGAGACCCTTTCATTAGCAAACTGCTCTGGTAAGTATTGCTACTCTACTTGACTATTACTGCATTTTGTTAGTCATACATGACTAGATTGTAAGCTTGCTTCATGTACAGGAACAGTAGGTGAAAAGGGCAATGGCCAAACATTTTGTTGGCATTGTCCTAAAACTGTGTACCACAATTTCTCTCTTGAGGTCTATCCCGATGGGTCTTTGATGTAGGACCATATCGTTGGAAATGCCTCAGAAATTAATCTTGCAGTTTCGCTTTACCTGCTAACTTTATCTTTAGTGGGATAAAACTGCATTACACGGAATCCTTTTATTTGATTTTTTTTTTTTTTTTTTTCTGACATATCAAACTTGAGTTTTGTTCTTTTTTAGGTGACTCTTGTCCAGTTTCAGAATTAGAGGCTTCAAATGTTGAAGATGTAACATTTAAGAGGTAACTTTGCAATTTGACTTTCAGAGCTAAAAGTGGAATGTTGCTTTGAACATGGCTTGGTAGCTTCTCATTCTGGCCATTTTGGGAGTTTATGGAATTCAGGTTAATCACTGACCAGCATCTGTTCCATGAGTGGAACGACTGCTGCAGGTAGATGGCAGCCATACGGCAATTGCCATTAGTCTGCTTCATTCAGTCTGCATTTCAAATCAGTTCATATGATGAGATTTCACTGTTCAACTGCTGTATGACTGAAGTGTGAACTAACATAATGAACTTCTGACAAGAACTGACTTAATTTAAGACTATTGTCGGTGACCTTATTCTAGCACACTTTGCTTTAAGATGTAAGGTGGGTGGCATAATTTCTTTTAAAATATGAAGTATTCTGTGAAGCTGGAGATTTTGTAAACCTAATTACCACTTGTAAATTTCATGTACTGCATAATGTTTTGTTTAAACTAGTTGCACATTAACACTCACTCTTCCATGTCTTAGGTGAAAGCTATCCATTAAACAGAAGATGAGGTGAGTGGTCTTTCAGCCTTCTGCACTGAATGGTATCTGCACCCAATGGCAACTTCCTGTTGTGGTGTTCATTACGCAGTGCAAGAGAAACTCAGCAACTGGCATCGTTGGTTTTCAGACCTCTTGTGTCTGTGAGCCTGGTTTTTATGCTGTGACATTAATTTCTATTTCTAAGGCCTGTGAAGGAATAACAACTTGTTTTTTTTAATTTTAGGTAATGCATCAGAATCCCTGTTTGAAGGTAAACAATTTTTATTTTTTTATTAGAATGCTTGCTTATTGTAAACTATAAAATCTGGTAATGTAAATGTGGTCATTACCAAAGCTTCTATGAACTTCAGTTTCTAGTTCGCTGTGGACATGACCAAAAAGCAAATGTCACTTGGCTTTCTGATGCTGTAGATGTATATGGCTAAGCCTTTTGTCATACAGTCTTGTATGCACTTTTACTTTTTTGTATGCTTGCCACTGCTCCAACCTGTGAGTGTAACTAAACAAGGTTTTTAACATCCATGTGCTTTATTTCAGAAGCTGCCTTTTCACTGACATGAGGTAAGATTTGTGCTACAAATAGTTAGTGCCCTGCTTTAAAACTGTCTGAAACCTTTAACATGTTCACCTACACTGTAATAGGGTCACTTCAAAGAGAACTTGTCTGGCTTTCAAACCACTTGTTCTTACGCGATGACCCAAAAGCATAATCTTCTACAGGATACTATGGGCACTCTGTGGTGTGTACCATGGTCTATTTTAGAGGAGATATCCATTTAATTACATGGCCTATTAAATTGCTATATTTACAATTTGCTGAACTTTCATCTTTATTACAGGTTTAAAAGAAGGAAGTCCTGTTGTCTCCTTGCAATGAACTACTGAAATAAAGATTTTATATACAAACTTGGCTACTGGTATCTTTCGTCTCGTGCTGTTAATTTTTCAAAGTAAAACATACCACTCCTAGGGAGGGAAGATATGTATGCTAACATGTAAATAAAACATCATGATTGTAAACTACTCTATAGCAGCAGTGTGTAATGAATTGGTGGAAGAAGTTGCTATATTGTGCTGTACAAATGGCTAGCATTTAATAGTGGTATTGGTCTGAGTTCTAAACCTGTCTGGGGTTAGACTAGTCAAAAGGGAGAGTGCAGCTTGTGACTGGCACCATGTAGCTACAATTACAAAGCATAAGGTTGCTATAAACTGCAAACTAACAATCTTACACTTCTGACTCTTACATGTGAAGATATAAAAAGTCAAAATGAAGTCTCTGAGGCATTGGGTGGTCTACAATACAAATATACTAAGGTTGTGTTGTTTAAATGTTCAATGCAAGAAAAATATGCAGTGAATTTACCTGGGAGTAGCAATTCCATACTACTTGCAGAATTATGCTGCTACATCTGTTTGAGGGTGGGTTTAATATCCACACCAGGACTATGATGGTGCAACAGTCAAAACATCAGGAACTAAGTCTTCCCATAACAGTCTTGTGACAGTATATCACTTTAATCCCGGAAGAAAAGTAAAGATTCTGCAGCATATCCATATTGATGGTTTTTGGTTTGGCATCTTAAAGGGCAGTTCACCATTGCACATTAACTTAAAGCCTGAACAGAGGCATTTAAAATGCAATGCAAACACTTGATGGGATAGGAATTATTTTCTACTTCCTCCAACATGTAGGTTTACAGGGGTAATTAAGATGGAGGTATCAATTGCAGTATCTAACTGTTACTAGTCCGTGTCTCTTGAGACTCTTGACCCATAAAGCATTTTAGCTTTCTGTGTAGATTTTATTTGCGGTCAGATACACAGGGTTGTGTATGATAAAAGCAAATACAAACTCAAGGAAAGTGAAACTGCCTACTTGAGGTGGTTGCCGTATGCAGGTTACGGCGTTTACTTTTTGTTCTATGTATTTTAGCTGATATTTGAGTGAGTTATTGGTACTGCAAAAAGCAACACAACCAGTTTCTGCCTGTGTTTAAGACAGACCTGTTAAGGTAGCCAGTCTTGGCTTTTAGTTTAGGTTGATTATCTGGTTTCTGTAAATACATTGGTGAACATTGATTCTAACACTGACCCATACTGTATAAACATTAGTTTGAATTCTTCATAACCCATTAAAGGAACACTATAGGGTTTGGAACACAAATCAGTTTTTTCCTGGCACTTTAGGTATTTTAAATTAGGTGTCCTCACTGGGTTGAAGGGGTTAAAACACCTCTCCTCCCTTGCCAACATCAGCTTCCAAGTGGAGCTTCATGCGTGACCAAACCCACCCATAAAGCATTACTCAATGCTTTCCTATGTGGATCTGAAATGATGCTGGACTTGGTGAGGATGTCCAGCGTCATTTCAGTGCAGATTTTTTTTTTTTCCTTCCCTTCAATTGCTGAAGTGGCTGTAAGGGAAAAAGCCACTAGAATCTGGATTAACCATCTAATGTAAACCTGGCACTTAGACCAGTTAATTGAGCTGAAGTGGGCTGTCTGCCTAGTGGTCATTTAAGGATGAAGTCAATTGCTCAAGTTCTGAACCTATGATTTGTCTGTGCAACCACAAGTTAGTTCCCTTACATGAAGTTCATACACACGTAATAGGACTTTAAGTCATCAAATATTTACAAATGAAACCGAATTTAATCTGAATAACCTTTAAAGTTTGAGAAATTAAGTTTTGTTCCTTCTCCACACTCGTTTTTATTAAATGGTGTTTCATCGTGTTTTACTGCCATAAACAAGTATCTTTGTTTACACATACAAAACTCCCATGTACAGGATTTTAGTTTTTGTTTTTTGTTTTTCACAGTTGGTGTCCAAATACAGGGCAGACTAACTTCAGTTTTTACACATTTAATTTTGATTTAGATTGGGCTGCTAGGCCCAGAAATTGCACTCACTCCGTGAGATGGCATGCTATTTGCAAAAGTGATGCCAGTAATAAGACAACCTGGGGTATTCCAGAATTCATATGTAAAGTCTTTTTGTTGGCCAGGGAGGAGGTTTCAAATGCCAGGGCCAAATAAAGGGCCTGTCCATTTCAGTGTTTATACATGGGTTTTCACGTCTTTAAAGCCCATCTTAGGAGGAGATCATAGCACATCAAAATAAGAAATGGGTACTTCCCCCCCCCCCCTTTCCCTTCTTCCTGAGGTCCTACATTAACCATGAAACAGAAATGTGCAATGGCTGAACATGTTTTCAGGTCTATTCAGTAAACTGCATGTATATATTTAGCAGCACACTGCCCATTTTCACGCTCTTCTGTCTGATTTGGTTACGGAACCAGATGTCTGATACAGTCTCTATATAAATGTTGAGGAAATATGTGCGCAACAGCAGCAATCACTAGTTCAACAAAGGGCAACTACTAAAGCACCATTGTGATAATGCGGCACTGGAATTCAGTACTGCTTAGATCCCTTTAAATTAATTCATAACACTGCAGCTGATTACAATTTCTGGGCTGCATGTTTTATAAGGGAGGACCCCCAAATTTGAATATCTGCCCAGCTTTGACCATAGTGTAACCTGCTAGAAGCAAGCTGCATTCATAAGTAAATGTAATCTGGAAACAGCCTGTAGATGGTGGTCACAGACTACTGTATTCTGTTTTAACTAGGAAACTCAAATCAGATTTGATTTCAGGGTTTGGAAAAGTGGTGTCGTTGGGGTTAGCTGTAGGGTAAGGGTGTTTTATGGTAAGATTAGGGTAGATATACATAGTTATTGAAAACATTGTGTGAGGGGTGTCGTGTTGGCATATGGTTAGTAGTAACTACCAACACTGCCACTTCTATTTAGTTACACTGGATGTTTAAATGACCACTCTAGGCACCCAGACCACTTCAGCTTAATGAAGTGGTCTGGGTGCCAGGTCCAGCTAGGGTTAACCCATTTTTTAATAAACATAGCAGTTTCAGAGAAACTGCTTTGTTTATCAATGGGTTAATCCTTCCCCTATTTCCTCTAGTGGCTGTCTTATTGACAGCCACTAGAGGCGCTTGCGTGCTTCTCACTGTGATTTTCACAGTGAGAGCACGCAAGCATCCATAGGAAAGCATTATGAATGCTTTCCTATGTGACCGGCTGAATGCGCGCGCAGCTTTTGCCGCGCGTGCGCATTCAGCCGACGGGGAGGAGGAGAGCTCCCCGCCCAGCGCTGGAAAAAGGTAAGTTTAACCCCTTTTCCCCTTTACAGAGCCGGGCGGGAGGGAGTCCCTGAGGGTGGGGGCACCCTCAGGGCACTATAGTGCCAGGAAAACGAGTATGTTTTCCTGGCACTATAGTGGTCCTTTAAAAATGATTATAAGCAGACATGGGAAATATGCATTTTACCCTCATTAAAATTTTCATCACAAATAAGATTGTGAATGTGTATTGGATATTAAATTATAGTCTTTTCTATCCTTTATAAAATAATGTATAATATGCATGGGAGCATGTAAAAAGAAACCCTTAAATTACCTTGGAACAATAGTGCAAATTGTAGGTTTTATTTTGGTTTGGAACTTGGTCAATTAAAGGAACACTATAGTCACCTAAATTACTTTAGCTAAATAAAGCAGTTTTAGTGTAAAGATCATTCCCTTGCAATTTCACTGCTCAATTTACTGCCATTTAGGAGTTAAATCACTTTGTTTCTGTTTATGCAGCCCTAGCCACACCTCCCCTGGCTATGATTGACAGAGCCTGCATGAAAAAAAAAACTGGTTTCACTTTCAAACAGATGTAATTTACCTTAAACAATTGTATCTCAATCTCTAAATTGAACTTTAATCACATACTGGAGGGTCTAGCAAGCTATTAACATAGCAGGGGATAAGAAAATCTTAATTAAACAGAACTTAATAGGGCTCTCTTTACAGGAAGTGTTTATGGAAAGCTGTGCAAGTCACATGCAGGGAGGTGTGACTAGGGTTCATAAACAAAGGGATTTAACTCCCAAATGGCAGAGGATTGAGCAGTGAGGCTGCAGGGGCATGTTCTATACACCAAAACTGCTTCATTAAGCTAAAGTTGTTCAGGTGACTATAGTATCCCTTTAAGAGGTTAAGATTTCAGAGATATTACAATCAAGGTTCAGTATATTCCTTTGGAAAAGGAAAATCCTCTACAGTTTCCATTCCATTGGTTCTTAATTTAACAGTCAATTTGGCTATTTCAGATATAGCTCAGGTAGAAGCAAGGGAACTTCTGAACATTTGAACAGCAGCTTGCAAACCCTTAGGATTTCAAAATCTATCCATTAAATCTTTTTGTATAAGCTTTAGCGAAGAAAAGGTATAAGGAAAAGGGAAACCCCCATTGCGAGTAGAGGAAAAAGTAATTTCGAAATCCATCTCTTGTGGGCCTAGTCATGTTTATGCCACTGAGCCCAAATTTTAGGAAAGGGAATTTTGGACACTGACGTTTAGCATGTCCACTAGGAAGTTATTAGCAACTTTGGCAATAATCTCCTGTCGAAAAGAAATTGTATCCTTAAACCATACAGCCGGCAGGGTAGCTAAAGTGATTTTACTAAATAGCGTTTGAGAATGTGCTGGGAAACCCTTCATAGGACAAGATAACAGCGTCCAGGGGTTTGAATAAAAAAAACGTATAAAAGGTTTCCAATAGGTAGTCACTTTGTGACAGGTAAAGCACATATGAGCAACAGCGCCTCGGTGGATGTGGTGGTAGATAAAATCAAAGATACATGATAAATGGGCCCATTTACTGCCCGAGTAAGACATGCCATGAAATCTTTTAGCATAGTATGGGAGGAAGGTCAGATGTCCTGATCAAGGCGCTCGCAGAGCTTAGTTTCCCACTGGGAGATCGACGCGATTGCGGGGTTAACTCTCCTCCGGTCTGCCTTGGTATCTGAGGCAGACTGGAAGCACCTGATCGCGTTGTCCCTGCAGTTGGGATCTCTGAGTGAGCTCATGTGCTGCAGTGACTCCATGTGATCTGTTTTTTGTTTTGTTTTTTAAACCCTTGAGGGTTAACTTTTGTTTTTACCCTCAGGGGTTAAATTTATTATATTAATAAATATTTGAAATGATATATTTTGCTGGTGGGAGGGGTGGGGGGATCAAAGTTAGTGGAGAATTTGGTTTTAGGCTAACTAGTGGTTAATGTTAAAAAAGCTTTGAAAAGTAAAAGAAAAATGTTTTAATAACGTTTTTAAAAGTTTGGTGGGTGGGGCTTGAGCCACATGGTGACTGGTCATAATTTACATGAGCTCTGGGCTCAACTGCTGATTTAAGCAGACTTTTATGCCTACCAACTTCACCAACGATTTCAAAAGTAACTCGCCTGTCCTAGGAACAAGTAGAGGAGAAAATTGGAGGTTAAATTGGCACTATCTTGTGCACCTTGATGGTGCCTGGTAAAACTGCTGGGTGGGAGAGGCGGCCGACGTCCTGACCTCCGGAAACACGTACATTGTAGCCCCAATTCCCCACCCCCTCTGGACCCGGGGGGATGGGTGTTATTCCAGCCCCTACTGCTACACCACCTGAAGCTGATCTCAAACCGTCTGGTGAGTCGGTGCGTGGAAGCTCAACTGTCAAAATGGTTGCCGATGCCACAAATGCACACCCGAGTGAATAAGCTCCTCATGGCTTTTGACCACATCTGCCAGCAATTCTGGGAGAAACTACGTCAACGGAGACTTACCTCACCCCCTGCTGGTCATGCCCCTGCTCTCAGGAGCCGTCCCATCCAACGGGCCCTCAGGTCTCAACACCCTCAGCGCTTCCCCCGAAAGGGACAGCACAAAGGAAACGGCGTGGTCGGAAGCTGCGAGGAACACCAACTTCACATTGCACAGACCCCCAAAGTAAAGGGCTGCGCTCCACTACGCCTCCAACTTTTCCGACCTGACCAAGAGACACACGCATCAAGCTACCAGCGCCACTGCCAGAGGTCTGCATCAACAGCACGGGGGACCCATGGAGCACCGACACTCCTCGGGGCTGAGGCACGGAGATCAGTGGCACCATCGACTCACGAACAACAAGCAGCAGGACAGTTACGCCTCACACATCATGCGCAAGAGAGTGGGAGTCTCAAAGAGAGAGGAAAAGAGCTTGTCCTTATGGCCTACTCACGGCATAGGGTTAAGCAATCTGGCGACATCAACACACTCCGAGTGCCCCCTCTTAGCACCCAGCAGGGAGTCCCAAACTCCTCCAATATGTTTCAAGACTGACTGCTCCTTATATTAATATCTGCTGGTTAGTGGTATTATTACTGCTTCCTCTGTCAGTTAGTTATAAAGAAGTAGAAAAAGGTGGCGCCACAGAGATAAAATGTACAATTAAATATAAGCAAGTAGTAATATAGAAATATAAAATGATATATAATACAGAGAGAGAACAATACAAAAATAATAGGTATATATATATAAATATATATATATATATATATATATATATAAAGAACAGTCCAAAAAGAGTCCAGTAAAACCTTGGGATGAGAGAACAATCACAGTTCTATATGAGGTAGAGAAATCTATAGAGTAGTGGGATCAAGGGGTTCGTGGGATCCGTATGAAAAAGAAAACCTAATAGTGCAATAAAACCCAAATAGGTAGCAGCCAGTTAAAAAAGGTCTATGTGGTCCTACTCACGTTTTTGACAGCTAAAAACTAGCTCTAGTATAAACGCGCATACAGTGGTATAATTGCCACTTATGGGATACGTGAGGGAGTGTTGTAAGTAGATATCTCGTCAGATGGGGACCATATATAACATAAAAAACAACAATAGTGCACAATGTGATAAAACCAGGAGTGTGTATAAAAATACCAAATGGTTACTCACATTTAATTGGGCAGACACACTGCTCAATATTAGGGCGTAAATAGTATAAGCTTAGCCCAAGGTTTTACTGGACTCTTTTTCGACTGTTCTTTATATATACCTATTATTTTTGTATTGTTCTCTCTCTGTATTATATATCATTGTTTATTTCTATATTACTACTTGCTTATATTTAATTGTACATTTATCTCTGTGGCGCCACCTTTTTCTACTTCCTTATAAGTATATATCTGTAGGGCCTGTGAGGGAGCCCTATCCTTTAGGTGTGCTGCCTTTATTTAAGTTTTTAGGCGCTGATCCTTCTGTACACTTTTCACTCTGTCAGTTAGTATATCGTAACTTTGTATTTCACTGACATGCTCATTACCCTGCTTACACTACATGTTATATTTTATTCACCTTAAGGGGTTAAGGAATATTAAAAAAATACTCTGTACAATTAGCTTACAGATCCTTCCATCTCTCTCATATAGTAAACCAAGTTAGGGACTGATTTATAGTTGAGAGATTAGAGCTGTAAATAAATGGATTTGAATTTAAAACATCATATACAAATAAAAGTAGAGAATCTACCTAGCTAAACTATTACATTTATACCGATCTGCAAATATTTGGATAAACTGTCTTTTTTTTTTAAATGACAAAACAAATGGAGAATAAAAATGATTACGTGTGAAGTTTGACCATGAATGAGAGTAAATCCACCTTTTGTTACAAGGATCTGTTCAAATATAAAAGATGAACATAATTTGTTTACTGGAGAGGCTTGTGATATATTGGCACCGGAAGAAACAAATCAAGTTTATATGACAATATACCTGATTTTATTCTCATCTTGTTCAGCCTTCGCAGTAGCATTTGTTCTAATTATTGCAGTTTCATTAACACAAGAAAATACACATATAACACATGGGAAAATACAATAAACATTTTTGGAGACACAAAGTCCAAGGTTTTCAAGCATGCTTGTATGGAACAGGATGAACACATAAAAAGCTTGTTACATAGGGCTCACTTTACTGAGCAGTGTGTGGAAGTTAAATGCTATAGTAAATGCTGTAGCATTTAATGATGGGCATACGTTGTAAGAAAAAAAAGAGATTACTTTGTCTGGGTCAAAGTCTAAGGTAACAAAACTTGAGAAATGGCAATGCTTCTAAAACAATCAGCACAGAGTTGGTCTTTGGTGGATCGCAATTGCTCCCAGTAGATGAAGTGCTAAGAACTGTAAATGTTGAAGACAGTGCCTACGGGGAAGAGGTTAAGAAAAGTATACCTAACTTCAGTTTCTTCCCCCTGGGCCTAGGGTGGCAGCTACTGGAAACAGAAATCTTCTTATGCATTGAGAGAGTTTTGCCTACGGAGGATTCAGCAGTCTTGAAGGACTTTGTGTTTTACCTTCTCAGATGCGTGATGAGAGTGCGACATTGTTGTGGCTCCTGGTGGATAATGCTTCAGGAGCTGAAGAGAGATTCCAAAGTGAAGATGGCCATGCCTATGAGGAATAGTTCCAGGTTAATATATGTACCTTTAGCTTCTGCAACACAAGTGGCCATCTACAATGATCACTGAAGGTGACAGCACAGTGCTGTGACTCCATATTTATTATTTTTTTTATCAGTAACTTTTCTGAGGAGTTTGACAAATAAAACCCAAAGCATGGCTCTTTTCTGACCCTAATCCTGACCCTTAACATCCAAAATGATAATGTGAAAGTTCCCTTTTAACATTATTCCTCCAAAAATGTCCAACAACATTTAGTGACAATGGGAACTAGGCCTCAGTGAGCACAGCCTGTCCAAGGTTGGATGACATTTGTTCGGTAGGAAGTGAACTCTCTTTGTTATTGTCACAGAGGAGATGAAGTTTCATTGCCATGAAAGCCCCTTTTCTGTCCAATCATTCAAAAACACTGTCAGAAAAAGTTAGAACAGCACTTAAACATCCTGTGCACCATGAGCACTACAACAAACTATAGTTCTATTATGCAAAGATTGTAACTTTCATATTTATTTTAAAGATTTCATGAGAGCACTTGATGTGTGGCTTAAATTCCTTCTACCAACCTTTGTGTATGACCGAGCAAGTGTGAAGCATAATTTCATGCTGATAATTTAATGAAGAATATGTACATTTTTTAAATTTGATCTCTTATAATAGCTGCAGGGCTATCTTGCATCAGTAAATGGTCAAGATAGGTGTATAATTACTTATCATTTTATTTCGATTCTATAAATAAATCCTGAGTTTCAGAGTAAATGAATGAGGACTTCAAAGCAAACTTTTATGTAAAAGAATGAATTGGCTCTCTCTTGAACTATTTTGTTGTAATGATCTGAACGGCTAGATGTAGAACATTTCACAAATCTTTTACAAAAAGAGGAGTGCATAGCAGTATTGTATAAACCTATATATATATATTAACTCCACACCTCCTGTATGAACCCTATAATATGCTATATTAACCAAGCAGTCAGTATTCACTCTAAACATGCAGCTGCATCTGTACCCACTGCATTTAAACCGTAAACCTACAGCAATACCCCCCAAACTAAGCCGCAAAATTAACTCTAACATTTGGTGCATTAAAGTGGCACTGTCACAAATTATATATTAGAAGATGTTATTTCTCTGTCTCTCTCTATTACAGGGGACAAGGTATCCATGAATTGAAAGGATGCTTAAATCAGATCTGTGGGACTCCAGCCCAGGTCAGCCCTATTGCAACACACCTGGGCAGTTCTTGCAAAAAGCACAAAAGCCTTCCACGCACTTTTCACAATAGCAAAAAGGGGGCAATAGTTTTGTATATCCCTAATGCACGCTTCTCCTGCTCTATACTGTTGTAAACATTTGACAACTGTGTATTTTCATATGTTTTCCATTGGTGCAGAACTGTTACAGAGATGCAGGAACCATCACCCACATACAGGGTGATATTGAGAGAATGAGTTTCATGCCCACGTGATTTTACACACTGGTAAAGATGATCAGTGTGCCATGTTTCTACTATAAGCAGAGAGTGTGATTGTCTGTGAGATACTTCCTATATACTATTGCTGCCTTGCTACTCCCCAGCCTTGTCTCTTCAGTTAGTCTTCATAATTCATGATGCATTATGCATTTCTATGTAAAATGTGCTAATGTGCTCCATCTGCCCAGGGCCAAGAATCATTGAGGATACTGGCCAAGGGAGCAACACAGAAATTTGGAACTCTATTTTACCACCTCCCCTCGAGACATGCTGTTAATTTGATTGTTATTTAGTAGGAATGGCCTGTCAAAGATAGGCCAAAGAGTAGACCTAATCTTGTTAGTCCAAATAACATCCACTTGTGATTCTTTGTTCTAAACCCCAGTTATGTCTCCACTCTTAAATCCCCAACTGCACCTATTCCCTCCTCCTGTTCGCCACTTTATATGTGTCCCTAAAATAACGCACTTATGTCTCTTTTCCCTATTGTAATTTTCCCACTATCTGCTAGTTAGTGCAGGGCGTTCTGTGTGAAGGGACCCCACATTCAGCAGCACTCTTGACAAGCTGCCCCACCTGGTGTCTTGCCCTCGATCTACAACTGCCCGGCTGGTCAGTCCACCTTTGTATTTAGTCAATTGCTGAATTGACAATATACTAAACAGTTTTGCAATGAGGGCCGTCAGCCTTGCCAGACCTACCCTCAGCTCCTTGACAGGTTTAGTCGCATAATCGACCATTGTGCTCCGCAGTAGTTCCACCACTGAGGTGCAAATATAAAAGTAAAATGAATCTACTCATTTTGTTTCAAAAGTCACAGAAAAACTTCTCAGTGGATTTCTCATAATAAATTCAGGGAATTTGTGTGGAAATTGTTCTGCACAATAAAATAATCGCTAAATCATATGTAAAGTCTGTAAGTACTTTACTACAAACTTAGAACCACATTAAAAGTGTGTGTTGCATCCTCACAGACTTAAAAAAAGAACATAAAATACAAGTTCTCTTTCATCCCTTTAGGATTGTAAGCTTCTTTGGTCAGTGTCTTTTTCACATATGGTTCCCATATGTCAAACATGTTTTGTTAAAAATAAATGTTTGTCTTGCTTACCTATTGTACATCTCTGCAGAATGTATTGCTGCTTTATAAATAATTGTAATTGTTATGTCCCTTTTTTAATAAAAGCTGTAAATTAACATTTGCGGTAACAATTATTAACCAGCAGAGGGCAATGCATACACAATCTAATTCTAACTAGTTTTAAACGGTCAATACTATAAAATATATATTTTTTTATGATTTTCCAAACATTTCTGTAGATTATTAGTAGATCATGTTGCATGATGGGTTTTCTATAAAGATGACCTTTCACTTATGAGCTTTTTCTGTCACAGCACTTAGCTTCATAAACGTACAATTATTTAGTATTCTTTATTTAAATAACTGGTTGACCCTTCAATCTGTATTTTATGAATTATGATAATTCTTTAAAACTGTGTGGTAAACTAAGTAATCATTTACCTCATCGTCAATTGTTTTATAAGGTATTTTGGCATAAAGTAAAATCTAGAAATAGTTAGCTTTTTTGCAACATTTCCCAAAATAACACACTATTACTAGTTTAACCTGTAAAAAAATGTCAAACAATAAAAAACTTTGAAAGAAACAAGTGTCAGAATGAGTAGGTCTTTTCAAGGTAAAACAGACAAAAACATTGCTTTTGTGTATATGTGATACATTAACGGTAATACTGTGTGTTAAAATGTTGTATGATAACACAGGTAATATTTTACTGATTGTGTCATCTCACACAAAATTTGAAACCATATTTTATATCACATTTTACATGTGCTATTTTGGTATAATAGCCCGGCACTCACCATCCTAGAACGACACAAGGAAGGCATATGGAAAAAAATATAATACAGAATAAGGTCCCATATATGTATTACACTGCAACTGGCATCATCTAGTTTTGTCACAGTGTAGCCTGTGCAAAGAGCATGTTTTTTTTGTTTGTTTTGTTTTTATCAATGATTGTCTATGATCAAAATCTGCATCCAGATACACACCACCTATACTTTTTTAATTTCTGGGGAAAAAGAGAGAAGTTACCACGTGCATTTATTTAATTACGGTGCAAGAATGAATTTACAGTGAGTTCATCCTAAAATATACGCGTTTTCAGAAACATCTGTCTGTCTCTTATATGTACGAATGGTCCTTCCAATTATTTGATGCAATTAAAGGAATGCTAAGACTGGCTTGGAGACATTCGGGGCGATTTAGAAAGTGTTCTAAATTACTAAAGTATGAGGAGCATTAGATCGGACCACATTGGAGGAAGCCATAAATGTTGAAAAGAGGTAAGCGGTACCATGGGAGCATGGAAAAAAGTAGGTAAAAAGCTTTGTTTTATTAGTTTTATGGCACACTTGGGGGGGGAGGACTTTTATAACTAGAGACAGGGACTCTAAGAATACAGTTTTCTATTCCTAAAGCCACTACTTATAACGTGTTCCTTTAAATAATGATATTGCAAGGGGGGAGCACTAACTAGCTTGGAACAATTGTGCCAGTTGGTAGTTGTGCCAGTGCTATACTAGTCCAATGGTAGATTTCTAGCTGAAGGTATACATTCAAAAAATCTCTGAATGTTTGATTTACCTAATCCCTTCAAAAACACAGATTCTATAATTTTAATTTAATCTCATTTATTTTGTTGTGGCTGAATCACTAGTAATTGTGTACATTAGCAAATACAGTAATAATTTGCCTGAAATTCTATCCCAGTGCATGGAGATAAAAGATAGATGGACTGAAATCTCACTTGTGTCATCTACTCTGCTTCATCTTGCAAGCAAGGCACTCTGGGAAAGATCAGAGGAGATGCATGGTTAGGAATACACACACTATTTTCATGGCAACCTCTTATCCAGGCTGAAACCAAAATTTGCATTATATTATATTTGTTAGGTAGCAAAATATTTTTGGATTATATTTTGCCTATATTGTGTTAGGCATGGAAGGGACCCTTTAAACTTCTTAAACTAGCATTTAAGTCAGTTAACTATATGTAGAATTACCAGATTCTGCCTGTTTTCTTGGGCACATATCAAGTATACATATCGATGTGCAGCACATGAAAAGGCTTAAGTGTAGTATGGAGAATTCAGAAGAAGGTGTATTAAATTAAATGAACACTATACGGTCAGGAATACAAATGTGTATTTCTGACTTTATAGTGTTAAAAACACTATTTAGGTCTCTGCTCACCCCTTTAATACAGTAAAAACTTACTTGTATTCCAGCATCTGCCAAGGATCCACCCCCTTGATGATCAGAATTGATAATCTCAGCCAATCCAATGCTTTCCCATAGGAAACCATGCATCTCTATGGGGAAAGTTCACCGCCTCCGTGCATAGCGTGGAGACACTGAATGTCAGTGCTGCATGTTGTGCAGCGCTGATTCAGGAAGCACTTCTAGTGGCCGTCTGAGTGACTGCCACTGGTGGTGTTCCTAGGCAGTAATGTAAACACTGCCTTTTCTTAGAAAAGGCTGTGCTTATTATGAAAATTTCTGGAGGGACAGGCTATACCCACTATAACAACTACATTTAGCTGTAGTTGTTTTGGTGACTAAAGTGTCTCTTTAACCCCTTAAGGACACATGACATGTGTGACGTGTCATGATTCCCTTTCATTCCAGAAGTTTGGTCCTTAAGGGGTTAAGTAAATAGGCAATGGAGAATTCTGCAGAATCTGTATTATACATATTGTAGGGTAACCCTTTTCATGCATTTTCATAAATATGACAAAATGATGTGTCCCTAAAGACATGGTGGACCTGGTCACCCTATCTATATATAAACTATCGCAACCCATTTAACATAAGAGAGGTCAGCACTTTGCTTTGAAAACACTAAGTTAGAAGAGTGGAAAATCACAAGAACCTGATGAACAAATGGATAGAAACATATCTCATGGTACAAAGGTGACCTCCAGCATAGCAACCATACAAGCAGATAAAGTGTATCGAGATGAAAATGTAAGACTAAAGATAGCCCTCTGCAAAAAGGCTGACTATTAGCGAAAGTACACAAATCAGCATATTCATTTTTCTTAACTCTCTCTAGATACAGGTTAAAGTGAATCATTAGCATGCATTTGAAAATAAATCACCAGCATTACTTGACAAAATCTTTAGGTATATTGAAAGATCAAGGGGTTTGATTTGACGTTTTGCAAGTGGGGACTAGAATGTATTACTGTTAAAAAAAAAAATGGCTCATAATATTTTCTATCTCAAAGAAGTGTTTCTAAAAAATCCAATTTACCCTTTCATGGTATGTTTCATGTCTGGACATTCAATGTAGTGGTTATGGTACCGGGAGTGCATAGGATTAAGGTCACGTTTTTGTTTTTTGAAAGTTTAAGCTTTGAGTGCTTGAGTGTGAGTTTAAGACAAGCGTTTGTTTAACTTTTGGAAGGGATTCAATGTAATGTTAAGGAAAAGGGGTGTTTAATACATATGGCATTTAACAGTTTATTTGTAAAGCACTCTCTATGGTTGATATCAATGCTGTAGTAATTGTTGTACATGTGCATCACTCAGTGCTGTCTCTGGTTTTCCTGCAAGGCATTTTCTGTGTTAGAGGGCTGATAGGAAGGGATACCGTCTGCTTCCTGTCCAGCCTCACACACAGACACTGGAGGAGTTGGGACAACGGTGAGTTTCACCAGGTCTGCTATCAAGCATAGGAGGCTGACTGGAAAACAGAAATCTGTAGTTGACTACTTACAACGTACCATTTTTGTGTTTAAATGGGCTGATAGGGAGTAATAAGTGCCTGTCTAATAGGAATTCAGGCCTTGCCCAGTGTAAGGAGTCCACTAATAATGCCAAAGAGCTTGAAGCTCCAAACAGGACACTCTTAGCCACTGAACTAAGAACATTAAAAAATGGTCTTACTCAGTTTGACTTCTTACACTGGGGGAGCACCAGGGTACTCCTGGCACCATAACCACTAGAGAAAGCTGTAGTGTATGTGGTGCTTGGATTGTCCCTTTAATATGAAATATCAGACACCTTATTTTCTAAATCAGTCTTCCTTTATTCGACCTAGTAAACAATGCTAAGAAGAAATGCCAGGCAAAATAATGCAATACATTTCTTTGCTGCTTGAGCAGAACAGAGACAGACACAGGGTTAGATTTACATGTCAGGTGCCTGTGGGCACAAAATTCCGAGGCGCCCCCTGCTGCCCATCTGTAAAATAAGGCAGACTAATTTATTAACTGGACATAACGTTAGCAGTGAAAAAAAGTATTTTACTTACCTTTTTTCCATTGCCATGCTGGTCTTGCTTCGGCTGGCCCCGCATCTATGTCTGAGATCATCAAACTTTATGATCTCAGCCAATCCAATGTTTTCCCATTGGTAGGCTATTGTGCATTACACTTTGCTGCAACAATCACTATCTCCTCATAGATATGCATTGAATCAATGCATCACAATGGGGAGTGTTCAGCGTCTCCATGCAGAGCGTGAAGATGACGAACATAAATCCTGCGCACAATGCAGGCCTGAAATAGGAAGCACCTTTAGTGACCGTCTGTGTGACAGACACTAAAGTTGTTATTTTCTCTAAAAGGCAGCATTTACATTGCTGAGCCTGAAGGGACAGATTTTAGACACCAGTACAACTACATTACGCTGCAGTAAATCAGGTGACTATTGTGTTTCCAGGGCAGCTTTACTGCTGGTTTGGGCAGCCCCTCTATATGGATCAAATTCTGTATTGCGTGCCACAGGTGAAGGCACGGGGCACTAGGGAGCACTTACATGGCTGCACACTAGCACCCGGTGCCATCAACCTCAGCCAGCCAGAATCACAGAGAGCTGACACCCCTTCACATCTCATATGCCTCAGCGCACGGGCACATCATACAATCGCGGAGAATCAAGGTAGCCAGGACTGGACTGGGACCCATGGAGAGACCATATTGTGACAGTTGTGTATATGCCAGTGTGTGTAT